CTAGGTGGCCATTGTCCCTCACTCCATCTTCTTTAACGTCACAGCAGCCCTTGGATCCCGCCCTCGCCCCTGGCCCAGGACGGCTTCCTCCTTCCAGGGAAGACAAGTCCACGACTGACCTGGTGGCCAAAATGTTATTCCTGAACGAGCTGGTGTCCCTGGAGAACGACGTCTTTGAGACCAAGAAGAAGAGGAGTTTCGGTGGGTTTGGCTCACCACTTGACAGGCTTTCCAAGGGCCTGAAGACCAAGCAGAGGTGGGTGACACAAAAGGTTCTCCTGCTTCTTCACACACACCGTTCTTGAGGTGGTTGGTGACCACGATCACGAAGATGATCTCCACTGTTGGGTCCGACTCTTGGCGATTCTGTGGGCCTCGTTCTTGAGGTGATTGGTGATGGTGATCATGAAGATGGTCTCCATTGTTGTGTCCGACTCTTGGCGATTCTGTGGGCCTCGTGGTCTCTCCCCATCTTCCAATCTTGCGTCTTTGAGTTGTTCTGTGCTCTGGCTGGGTGTCATCTTTGATGGGGTGTCCAGCCACCCTCTTCTTTGGCGGTCTGGTTCCCTTTTGCCACTAACTCTTCCCACCTAGATGGGGCAGCTGTTTCTCTGTATGGAATGAACTGGATGGAAACTGACCAAGGAGAGAAGCAACCTAGAATTAAGGAGAAATTAATCTATCAGTGAGAACAATTAACAATTAACCAGGGGAGCCGTTCCCTCACTGGAGGTTTTTAAGAAGAGATTAGGGTCTCCTGCTTTTGAGCCAGGGGTTGGACTAGAAGACCTCTGAGGTCCCTTCCAACTCTATCCTTCTATTATTCTGTCTTCCTTCCTTCCTTCCTTCCTTCCTTCCTTCCTTCCTTCCTTCTAGATGGCTTTTAAGAAGAGACATACATTGGTCTGGAATGGTCTAGAGTCTCCTGCTTGAGCTGGAGGTTGGACTAGAAGACCTCCAAGGTCCCTTCCAACTCTTTTATTCTGTTATTCTGTCCTCCCTCCCTCCTTCCTTCCTTCCCTCCC